CTGTCCACACTATGCTGCCATTTGTCAGGCAATTCTTCTGAACAGGAGAGAGGAACATGGCAGACGCAACCTTACTTATGGGCATAAGTGCAGCATATTTAGTTATCGCAGGGGAAAGAAAGAGAAAAGAGCAACGGCGGCGACGCATATGGATGAAGGGTTATTTAAAGAAACGGAATTTTGGAATTCTGAAGGATTTGGAAGTCGATGAAGAGGTTCTATTTAGAAACTTTACACAAATGTCCAGAGCAAACTTCAACACGCTTTTGGAAATAGTCGCGCCGAAAATCACTCACTTCAGAGAAGCGATACCTGTTGCGATCAAGTCAGCTATAACGCTGAGATTTTTAGCTACCTGTGATTCGTTTGCGTCCTTAATGTGTTTGTTTAAAGTTTTCAAGCAATTCGTTTCAGCAATGATTCGTTACTTTCCTTAGGTGTTATCGACTCTGTAATGAACAGCAGAGACTTATAGGCAAACCACGCGGAGGAGTAGTTATCTTCAGCGCCCGAACCACTTTTTCTTTTAAACACTTTTTGGCGTTCCTTAGAAAAGTATGAACGCAAAGTTTTTATTTTGTTTTTCACACTCTTCACATCGATGTTTAACTTGCTGATCATCTCAGTCAAAGCATCTCTACGTTTTGTTTTATTAGTGTAGTCTCGATGGTTGTGGTCCCATAACAGTTGAAATGGCCTGTAAATATTTATAAACAACAAAGTTTCTTCTTCAGAAGACGTCATCTTGAGAAGCGAGACGCACGGCGTGTTGAACCAAAACCCACTCAGGCTGGGAACACGTGCAATGAGGCATGCGCTGCTAAAACTGCTGCCGTTCAACTCTCTTCAGGCATGCGGAGACGCATGCATTACGTGCGCTATTGCTTGCGCTATAACGCATGCCATTGACGAACATAAAAGCGCAAGACTGTAGACATAGCTTTACCTTACCATACATTACATTACCTTACCTTACATTACCTTACCTTACATTACATTACCTTACCTTACCTTACCTTACATTACCTTACCTTACCTTACATTCATCTACCACAGACCCATCTGAAGCCTTACTAATTTAAATTAAATAAGCAACTTCCTTTCCTTATAGACGTATTTACGTCAAATTCTCCGGAACCGTGGTTCCACTGACAACTTTTTATCAGGAAATTCTGTTAAGAAGTTTTATTCCTCTCCATATTAAAAAGATTGATACTGTATAAGATGGTACTATTACAAAAGTTAAGTAGATTCATACTCTACAGTTCTGCCAGTTTTTTACCCTCAAGATTGTAACTGCAGTATTCCACACATCATCTGACATTTAAATACACAGTGTGTGGACAGTGTGTCACACTGTAATAAGGTAATAATCTAATTAATTATGGGTGTACTTTTATTTATATGGTATACTCATAAGCCTTCCATTTCTAATAAATTATAATGGGTATATAACTTATACATATTATTCATATTACATGGGGAACTTGTATGTAAATTTTAGACTCTCAGAACAGGACCAGAAGATAAGAATTTTCATATTTGGATGTTGGTTTAGTCAGTCCCTTCATTGCTATGTTTTCATGGTTATAATTATTTTATTATACATGTGTCTCTATAGCATTTGTGGTGTGGGCAGGCTCAGAGTTGACACACCTGACATCTCATCTCATCAAGCAGATTTTCATGCCCCAATCATCCATCACAATGTTGGCTGAGTGTATCACATGTGTTAGGATTCAGTGTGACCAGGTATGTTCCATATCTTATAATCTGTATTTCCTGATAATATTTAAGAAATCGCCTCATAGTATTAGGAAAAGTGACACTTGAAACTCAAAGCCCCATGACTACAGTATTAACAGGCTAACACCCAAACATGTCCTGTGCCAGTTAATTTCAACCTACATCATCATCAGATGATGGAAATAGAATATATAAGTTGACCTCTCGTGGATTATATAGTTTAAAGACAACAATCTGTGAATGTGACCATTATTATTTGTGAAGTGAATAAGAAGGATTGTAAATAATAAAATATAAGTACTGTGCTTTGAAAGGTGGGATAACCAAATAAGTATTATCCTTGTTGACTCTGGCAATGTAATGAAACAACTTCAAAAATATTGTTAAAATTGGTGATGGTGAAATTACTGGAAATAAATGATAATGAAAAATTATCCAAGAAAACAGGATTCAGAGTCTTAATTCATCAATTTGGAGGTGTTTAAAAATTAAGTCTAACTTTTCTTGACAAGCTAGCCAGCAGGCAAGAAGCTTTCTTCAGCAAACTAAAGATTATATGCTATAAAGTTTGTTACGCAGTTTTCTTCATTTTATGATGTTATTTTTTCTAAGGGCAAAGTGTTTCTCTTTAACATCTGTTTGATGTTACTGCTAGCATAGGACATTCACATTGTGTTCATGTGTGTGCCAGCTTTGTGAGCTTGGTGTGGATCTGCGATACCAGCTGGATGGTTTGTTGCGTACCCCATTAACACGAGCATTGCGTGATGCACGGGAGAAACTGGTAGATGCGGTCAAGCTTCGGGCAGCAGAGGACAAGTGGCGCCCCATGAATCTGCAGAGTAAGGCTGGCCTAACAAAATTTCTGCAAGAAATGAGTGATATTGGCATAGCCAGTATACACACATATGTTACAGGTTGGTGTATTTTGTTAAATTTCTCAGATTATGCAGTCCTGTTCTGACCTGATATACATTTTGTATTTAATCTTAAATGGGTTATTATTGGATGAACATACTTATTTATGAAATTTAACATCACTATTATAAATTTATCTTATCTCTTAGCTAATATTGTTAATCTATTGTTGTTCTGGCAAGAATCTTTTTTTGTGAATGTTTACAGAAGTATGGTAACCACTTCTTATATATTTGGTAATGAGAATTTCATTTTATTTACCACACTTATAACTGTCTTATTATCTGAATATGATAAAGACAGTCTCTGTTTTGGCAAATTTTGTATGCATCCATTTTGTGACATGCATAACATGAATGAATATAGGGCTGATCATGTCTGCCATAAATTTTAACTTGGGGGAACTGTGGGACAAATTTTGGTATTAATATTATCACTGAAGGCCATCCTAACTCATGCTTTTTAATTTCATGTAGTTGGGAATAACATGATGGATGCAAGAACTTTTGAGGTTGGAACACACTCATAAAAGTTACCTGCAAATTCAATATGAAATATTGTTCCACAGTACTTAAATTATATGTTCTTCCTTCAAAGTTCAATTTATGTACATTTCAAACAGTGCAAAACAAAGTGTTTCACTAGAATTATGTACACGTTGCAACATTTATTGTTTATTTATTTATTTATGTTTTATTTTTATATAGGGGACTGCTGGTTGGGGCTAACTGGCAACACTGTGGCCTTCAGCAAGTTGTATCTGACACTGCTAGAGGACTGTCTTCGTTTGGCGACACCAGAACTTCTGTACACAGTGGATGAAGTGCTTAGTGGTGTGTTCCAAGCTCAGATACTACATGTAGAAGCTTCGCTGTCCAGCGATAAGTACAAGGCTGAGGTATGAAAGATTTTGTTGCTACAGATTTGGTAACATGTAACCCTACAGTATGGTCTTGTGCTTCCATGTACATATTAGATTCCTGATGATGGAGATGGATGCAGCCTCTGAAGTGTTAGTTGTAGTCTGTGTTGTCACAGCTGATTGCTGGAGAAGTCATTGTTATACAAGTATATTCCTAAACTCTTTTCATGCTTTGTTATTACCTGTCCTCTTCCATATTTAGCGTTTATATATTTTTTATGTGCAAGCATTAGGTGTTTTAATTATACTTGCCTTTAACTGAGGTTTTGAACCAAATCTAAAACTTTACACAAATTTGTATTTCATATAATTTAAACTTCATTGGTAGGAATGGAAGAGGATGACTATTGAATATGGAGTGATAATTGACACTGAAAAACAAGTCCTTGGAGAGAAGCCCAGTTGTGACATTTTTCAACATAAATTCCACATAAACCAATTAGGAATTGATCCCACGCCTCTGAATTAAGGATCAGTGTCAAACCATCTGAGCTATTTCATGATCTACTTGCAATTAATATATGTTATTCCTTTGTGTTGCAGAGCAAGTTTATACAGAAAAATGCAGGTTTCCTCTTGGACACACTGCTGACCCTTGCCGAGCACTGCTATGAGGAGAAGATTGGAAATCCATGTGCTAAATTCAGCAGACTTCGTGATGACTACTCCTGGCTCAAGAAAGACACCAGCATCAAGAAATCTGTGAAACCTGTCACTAAATACTCCACAACAGAATACATCTAAGTGTGTTGTTACAGGAATATTTGTATATTTCATTCACGTTGTGCTGTAAAGAGATCTGTAACAAGACATTTTTACTTGGTTTCAATAATGCTTAAACAGCAGTGTACATATAGGCATTCTGTGCAGTGATGTAATAAATACTGACCCTCATTCCCAGTCTTTTATATGGATTATTCAATTATGTTTGTATTTTCAGTCTTGGGAATGTTTCCAAATGGAGATCTGTGAACTGGCTGTTTGAGCAACAGCAGCATTTCATTAATTAAAAAACGGGACCAAAACTTTTGGATTCTGAGTTGCTGTATTCATCTGAATATAATGCTACTTTTTTACCTAATTCATCACTTTAAATATAAGGGCATTTCTATAGAGAGGCTGACTACTATTCAATCTAGAAAATTTCTCTCCTCCCTCCCAAGACTTCACTCATATAATACAAATGAATATATTTTTGCTTTACAGGTATCCATCAAATGGATTATCATTATCATTATCATCAGAATTCCTTTTAAGAAAGTACAAATATTACACGAGTATCAGTCTAAATTCTCTTTACTGGTTGCTGACCCCTGGTTTATCAGCTTGAGAGATGAATGTAATGTAAAATGATTTCTTAATAAGGTACTCTGTGGCTAAAGAACACCCAAAATTTAGAATCATTGAGTGACTATGTCATTAAAGAAACACTACAGTCAAAGCATTCTTTTAAAACCTTATTTAATTTATTCATAAATATTAGGAAGAACAGTGTTTGCATATTATGGTAAAACACCCTTAACTATATGAAGTAATGTTATTTATAACGTGACAAAAGAATTATTATATTTTAATTTGCTGGGTTTCTGATGAGCACAATACAGTACTAAGTAATGCTTGTTCTTTTCACTTGATAGAATAAGATTTGCCAGTACAATCCTAGAAACTAAAATTTCAACAAATTACATGTAGAAAATCAAGATGCAAGAAGTGAGCTGCATATAGCTAATAAACCCATAAATCCACATTGTTACATACAAATTATGTAGAAAATTCCAAGATGCCTGTGAGCAGAAATATCTCTGTGTGCAAACGTATCTGAATTTATTATAAAATTTCTGTTTTCTAATGCTTTACTTGGTATGGCTAGCCAGGATACAGAAATCCATTTCTGAGATCAGAACTCAGTGCAGGGTGAATACTGATATAGTACCATTTGCATTTACAGCTTGAATAATGATTCCTTAAAAGAACCATCAACTGAAAATTTGCTTTCTGCTTGTTCAGTTAATTCTATCTTTAATTTTTACTCTTCCATCTACTTCATAAATCTTTGCAAACACATATTTTCATTGTGATGTGTTAAATTCAACATAAAGTTGTATGCCTTCTAAAGTAAGGTATCTCTTGATATTATATGCTGGAGGAATTTTTATAAAGCCTTTTTGTGTTATGGTAATATTCAAATAGATGTGCCAGAATACCACTACAAAATACAGAACAATTGGTTGAATAAAGACATCTAAAGATACATACTACATAATGAACAGTCATACCACAAGTTAATGATACTGATGGATGCATTTATTCTGTGGTATCTGGTGTTGGAGTATGGCTCACTTTTTGACGCTTCTTTGATTGGATATCGGCTAGTGTTTGCTCGATTGACCGAACATCTTTCTTATTTTCACTTGGCACTGAAAATAAAATGTTCATATTTACTAAAACACATAACATGTAATCTGAGTCTAACAGGGTGTTATGGAAGCATTGTGTATATATCTATATGTAAAGGTATCTTTGTGCAATTCTGAACTGGGTATATGGAAGTAAAGCTATATACATTCTCAGATACCCCCTCCCCCCAAAAGAAAGCATGACAGATAAGGTATACTTCAAGTAGTTGGTAATAAATTTTCACCAATTCCCTCTGCATGTTTCATATTGCTCTTGTTACACACTCTTGGCTTTGGTTGTTTGAAGGTGACAGATTTGTGTAGGAAATTCCATTCTTCAGTAACACCACCCAACACTGTAGTCAGCTAGTTAGCACTCCTGCTTTACATTTTGGAGGTCCCAGGTTCAATTCTCAGCCCAGAGACCAGTTAACCTGACTGAAATATTTCATAGTTTTCTTTAGTTCATCCAGGCAAATGCCAGGATAGTATCTTAAATTAGGCCATAACTATTTCCTTCCATATCCTCTCCTCCAGCAATATAAATTGCCCATAAATAAGTAAAATAAACTGAAGAACATACCAAAGCCATATTGTTTATTAGTCTCTGTTTTTCTAGCTGCTTCCTTTGCTGCCCCTCGACCAATCAGATGTTCATATTTCTCTCTGTAGTTGGAATTGGGAATAAAGTCTTCCGGTTTCTTTAGTGCTCTTTCCTTTTCTTCCTTCCTTTCCTGCTCTCGCTACAACCAAGATTGAGAGACAGTCCACATTACTAGGGAAGAAGGCAGATTTTTATGGTTGGAATGGATTTTCAAAGTTCTCTTTCAGAACCCTGTTAATGAACCTATGTGTCTGTCAGTTCATCTGCATCCTAGTCTTGTTGATGTGATTCCAATGCTTGGGTAGATTTTCACACTTGCAATGTTAGTTTAAAACTTGTATAAGTTTTCTAGTTACGCTTAAAGTTTTCTTTTGCAGGGATGGCCTTGGAAAAGATAAATTTTTTCTATTTACAAATTTTAGAAGTTATGAAACATGACTCACTGATATATAAAGTATTTTGAAAACTTAAGTGTCAGTATTTCTTAAAAACTAACAATTCTCATAATCATTTAAATGAATTTGTACTTATCCTGCAACATATGTTACTAGCTGTGTCCAGGAATATGTTAATTTTGGCAACATATCAGAAACTAGCCAGTGTTTAAAATTCTAGCCATTTTAAAGATAATTTCCGTTACCTGTTCAGCCAACTTCTTTGCCTTTTCTGGGTCCCACTCCTCCCCACGTCTCAGTGCTGCTAATTCATCATCACTTGGGGCAAACTCCCGCTTAAAGATCATCACATGTCGGTCCACTCCTTCCTCACCTATTGAAAATGCTGGGATTCCTGCTACTTCTGCCACATCATGTCTGCAAAACATTGGAACTATACAATTAATGTAACATCTTATACTAGTTTTATGTAAATCCCACTATCACATATAATGCAGACCACTAACATGTGCTTTAACAAACAGATTTACAGCCTTCATGAAATTAGAAGCCCATCTTATTATGATTATAATAGCTTATAAACATATTCTTTTCACACAGGCTGATTGTAATTAGTATATTATTGGAATATATTTCGAGTACAGACACAATACTTCTGTAGACTTGTTCCATAGGGTCAAACTTCTGCTTCTGTAGTGATTCATCTTGTAGGAACTTGTTGATATTTTCTTCAATCTGAAAAATTACACAATCTTATGTATAGGATAGTCAACAGTAAATTACTGTCATAATCATGTAATTTATGTCTGTATTAGAAACAAGTATTGTATCTGTGCTATGACATGTTCCACATCCTTGGCTTGGGCCTATGAAATGTAAATAAATTGTTTTATTCTATCCTGAGATAGCATTCTTAACAAAAGATATTTAATTTATAAGAATGTTCCCTTTGTACATTACTATACTTACTTTCTCTCTGAACCTTTTAAGCTTCTCCTTTTGTTCCCTCTGTTTTTTAAGAATCTCTTCTTTATGTTCTAAAATGACAGAAATAATGATTTGCATCCAATAAAATAATAAAAATATGTGTATTAAATTTGTGGGAACAACTTCATAGTATGAAAACCGCTAGTGTACTTGCACAGAAAATTACGTCTACTTAACCTTACTCAACTTAAAATTAATTATTCTAAATTAGCCTAGCCACCCATGCAGGTGATATAGGCTTTTGAGATCACTAATCCCAACACAAACCATTTTAACCTAATTAATGCAAGCGGTCAACACATTGTGCCAATATATCAATCCATGATCCTAATACAATACAGATTATCGCAACCGTATAATTATGGAACGTAAACAAATTCTAATTCGCATGTTAGGTTAGGTTGGTATCTTACTTTTCATCAAACTCCTTTGTTTATCGCTAAAGGATGGAGGTTTATCCATTGAATTTAATATTGAACCAAGTAAGTCCATTTTTTAAAACAATAATACTTAATGTTACTATCAAATTATGCGTCTTGTACTAAATTAAGTTCACAAATGATCTGCTGCGTACTGAGCAAGGCATTTGTTTGAACAAAACCTTGCTTCCGCTACGTTCCTGATTTTGATCGCACAACCGTCGGAAACAGTACTGTGGAGTTTCCGGTATTGTTCATAAGCGGTAGGGTACTTTTTATGTTATTTACTAAACATGAATTATGTAACCGGTTATTAATTTGTTTTTATATAACAAAAATGAACATTTTCCTGATCTTATAACGTTCCAGTAACCACAAGTACTGGAAACAATAAAATGCCATTCTTATACAAGTTTTCAGTAGTAGCTGCACATTTCGTTTGGGGCAATGGAAAATGCAGTTATAATCACAGACTATTTTTTAACTGCCAAGGACAGCATGGCACAGGCTCTGTGGCTGGTTACGTGATGAACTAAGAAGAGTTGAAAGAAGTTTTATAAATGATGCGTTGTTTGTGTTGGTGTTGTGTGAAAGTTTTGACTGAAGGGCTGTGTAATTTTTAGCTGCTGTATGTTAAATATATAAAAAATATAATAACCTTACAACAGTCTTCACCTTCGAGATAATAATCTGGTCTCTGATGGAACATAACCTATGATGTAGCTCCTGTTTTGTGATTGTATGTAGCTAATTACAGTTTTATACATAATTATAGGTACTGTAATGACAAACAAAAAATGAAGCTTCAAGAAGCACCAAATGCAATTTGTAAAGTCGTAAAATTTCCAGGATCTGTTACAAGTTACTTGAGATCAGAAGGTGTCACAAATGAACGTTATGGCTTGAAAGGAGGACTTCTGAAAGGTAAAACGCAATCCATATACTACTTTAATGGATTCTGTTTAATGATGGGCTGCATATATCTGACTCAAGATATAAATGCTGTAACAGTTGTAGGGACCAGACCTTGCATTTTGCCTACATCACTGGCTTTGTGTCATGGGAACTCAAACAGCTGATTACAAAGAACTACCAATGAGAAAATAAAGTTTATATCATGGATGGTATATGCTTCCATATCATGTATCCCAACCACCTGTCTGATTTCCTTGTCCTTTATTCCTGATGGATGCGATGGAAATGCTTGGTTTAATGATGACTACTGTACATTTCTTAATAGTAACATTATATGAGTTTTTATACCAACAGATACTCGATATGCCTGGTTGAGTTGGGGTCCAAACTTTGAAGTTGTACGGACTACTAATGGTGCTAAAGTAGCTGCATGGACTTTTGGAGCTGCTCTACATGATTCAAAAACTAGAGTAACTTGTGTCACAGAATTACCCTGCACTGATGGCTCAGGACGTGTTTCACAATTTGTGGTGGGATTGGAATGTGAGTTAGTTGGAGGAATGATTTGTGTTTTTGACATACGAGGATCTAAGGTTCTGCGTGCAGTGCAGATGCCTTCAAAGGTTTGTAAACTTCATTTTAACAATATACTGATTATTTATGTGACATTTATGTTTGAATATGTTCCTAGATATGAGAATGAAAATTGTGGAGATCTTACAAAGAAGGTGTTTTTGAAATTTAGGGTTGAATTGCAGAGCTTACCATATATTTTTATTAATGTTTAAGTTCATTCTGCTATATCATGTACTAATAATTCAGTGTTATAAAAATGAAATATTGATATTATGTATACAGTATATGTATTATCTTTTGTACTGCTATGCCAATTACTTTTTGACCCTTCTTTGTTTCTCTTCTGTAGCTTCACCTTTTAAGCATGCAGTCAACAAGTTGTTCTGATGACAGAGTATTCTTGTTTCCATATTTGTCAGATTATATGCACTGTTCTCAGAGACTGTTTAGTGATAACCTTGGATGAAAGTTACCTGTTATTTTGGCACTTTTAGAGTGCATAAAGCAGTCCTAGGAGAACTTGTGGATGCCATTGCATTGGTTGCCTGTTGGAGTTATATTTTAATTAATGGATTTAGAGACCAGTTGTTATCTGCTATGATGATGTGCAACAAGAAGTATCCTCAATGTGATATATATGTGAAAGAGATTGGTGGCAATAGTTTCCTAAGTTTCTTTGTGTGCATCATGTAGCATTTGTGACATCCAGCAAACACAGTCATTGGCATAGGCAAGTCCTTCAGTAATGACCATCATATTGCCCTTACCTGTTGACACCATAGGACACAACAGCTGTTGTTATGCAGCAGTTATTACATATAAGTTTACGATTCATTGGATGTTATCAGACATCATTTCAGTTGACAATCAACCACTTGGTGGTTTGTCCTGTGGTCTGGTCTTTTTCTTCCTTATCCACTTCAGTAAAATGTTGCAATTTAAGAAGTATGTATGCACATATGTGTGTGTGTGTAATCATGTACCTAAAGCCTAAAACAGTGTTACAATAATGAAGAACTGTTTACATTTCTGTGCTATAAAAATCTGTGTAGCTGAGTGGTGACTACACTTTAAACAAACTTTTCTATTTTAGGTGACATCTGTGAGTGTAGTGGATTGTGGATCAGAAGGATGCTATCCTCTGCCGCAGCTTCTTAGCTCTATGACAGGTGTGCTTGCAGTTGGCCTTGCTGGTGGACAAATAATGCTCGTGGATCTGTGTCGGATGAATTGTGATGATGGTATGATAATGCAACATTGAATATTGAGAGATTATTTTTATGAAGTTCATATTTTGTGTCTTATTTACAATTAAAATATACTGTTTTGCATAAAAATGAATTCTAAGTTACAACTGCATTATTCTGAAATGCTAGCTAATATATATTTTTAAAATATGTAAGAATTTTCTGGTAATTTAAGTTGTTAGTGAACAGAAGAACCTATGGAAGTATATTATCACTCATTCAAAAGCTGAAATTTCCCTGATGTGTGGAAACATTTATGTTTTGTGATCATATATACTTACGTAACTTCTAAAGGGAAGTGTACTGGCACAGATAACATTTAAAAGTCAGTAATGAGTATATAAAAATACATAGCAGTGTTATTTAATTTATGATTAGAAGACATTTACTCCTGTCATTAATGTATCTTGCACCACAGTTGTTTGCTCAGGGAGGTAGGCACACATTGGTGTAGTGCCTCTTGTTCACTTTGTACATATGAAATTAATAAGTTCATTTATGTTGTGCATATTATTTCTCTACAGCTGCATAAATACAAATATTTATGACTGCAGTAAAAGTATAAAGTTGTGTACATTTCATAATCTTTTTATATGTGCAGGGCTGAACATGGGAGCATGTGGTGAATTGAGAGATGAATTGCATGCTTGTCAACTTTTGCCTATCAGTATAAATGAAACTGACCAGGAGACACTGGAATATAAACGAGCCCATGCTGCCAGAACAGGAGACCATCAGTGTGTGGTGTTGAATGGTCAGTCTTACTATATTAATTTTACAATTCATAATCCTCATATATTATTTGATGCTAGTCTGCAGTTGGGTTAAGTAAGGTTATAATTCAGCATCCTGTTTTGCAAAATCATCATTGTTGTCTACATATATATATTGTGTCAATCAATACAACTACAATATTTCATGTTATAGTAACATGTTTAAAATATTCTGTCATCATCAGACATCATAGTATCAAGTTATGATGAAATAACAAGTAAAATTTTGAAAACTTGTTCAGCTTTAATTAGTCATCCATTAGCCCACAGTTGTAATCACTCATTATACACAGGCATTTTCCAGGCCGCCTTAAAATATCAGTAGTAAGACCATTGTACAAGAAAGGTGACAAAACTAATATGACAAATTACTTGCCAATTTCACTGTTAACTACTTTTTCTAAAGTACTTGAGAAGTTTATGTATAGTAGATTAAGTCATCGTATGCATACTAACAACATATTGGTCCTGGAACAATTTGGCTTCAGGAAAGGTGTATCCACTGAAGATGCAGCATTCAAACTAACAGACAATGTGCTAAAATCTATTAACCAAAAAGATGCATATTGGCAGTTTTTTCTGTGATTTAGCAAAAGCTTTTGACTGTGTAAATCATGAAATTTTGTTGGATAAATTACATTTTTATGACATTCAAGGAATAGCAGCGCAATGGTTCAGATCCTATTTAACAGGTAGAAAACAAAAGGTTGAAGTGAAAGCACTTAAAAACAAACAGATTTTTCTCAAACTGGGGAGCAATAAAACATGGAGTTCCCTAAGGGTAAATTTTAGGGCCCTTGCTTTTTATAATATACATAAATGACTTTCCTCCAACAATAAAAAACAATAAATACTTTAACAGAGCCCATAATATTTGCTGATGACACAAGTGTCATAATTTCTAATAAAAATGTTGATGATTTCTGTTTAACATCATACATAGTTCTGTCTTATATGAGTTAATGGTTTACTGTTAACAAGCTGGCCCTAAATGTAGATGAAACAAATCTCCTTATAAAAATTTGTGATTAGTCGTTGTCATCAATAAATTACGTCATCAACAATGTCAACTATAAACAAACTCGGCATTGTTGTGGAACACAACAATGCCGAGTACAACACAACAATGCCGAGTAAACAAATAACGCTTCACTACCGAGCCAGTCGCATTATCACTGCTCCAGAAGAAGCACGTGGAATCGCATTATTGATAATTTTCTGACAGTTGTCCTAAAACATCAGGAAAGTGAAAGAAGACGTTATCAAGTATTTGAAGTACCTACTCCAACAAGGTAAAGTGATACTCATTCGATATATTATGATTATGATCGATTTTGAGACGAAGATTTGCAAGGGTGGGGCTGGACGTAAAAAGTTGACTGAACAAGAACAGTTGGCCTCTGAACAGCGACGTAAAGAAGTACTACATCAGACCTATTTAAGAAATAAAGAAGAGCGAAGTAAAACTTACATTGATAGACGAGACCATATTAACGACACACGTAGAAAGACTTATTCGGTAAGAACAGAGGAGAAAATAAAACAAGACGCTGAAAAGAAAATTATTAGATAT